CCATCCCAGTAGTCCCTCAGCTTCAAATTTGAGTATGCTGTCTGAGATTCAGATTGTATAAAATAAAAGACAGTATTATCTTCAGCTTTCAGAATTAATTGTTCATTGACAATGAACTAGGCTTTCTTAGGAAAGAAAATATGGTGCAGGATTTTTGGTTTTGTGCCCCAGGATGTAATATTATTCTGTAAACGTAAAAGCAAAAACTTTCAGCATTTGTACTTTGTAATCTCTGAGGAGCACCTGTAGTGATACATTCTACAGCATCATCTAGGGCTTTAGAAGTGTAAAAAAGTGAGATCTAATATTTAGTACGTAGAAGTTTTTTAATGAACGTATTGTCAGATGAGCACCACATTTAAATGTGTAGCTACAGTCCATAGAGCTTGGAATTTCAGACATTGTTTCCATTATCCTTTGAATAGAAATAGTCAAAGAATGGATCTGGAAGCCAGCAGGAATTTGACATCTGAGCAAAAAATAAGTGTGTTTAGCTCTTATTTTTCTTTCTTTGTGAGCAGTGGTTAGGATTACTTTTGCACTTTTCTTTAATTTAAAGAAAGGCTGCATCCTCATTTAATTCTTATTTCTGTGCAATAGCGAAATACTATCATTTTCCACTCTTTTCACAATGAAGTTATTTTCACAAATGAAGTCCATAATTATTTTAATTCACTATCTTGAAGCCTTCAACTAAATAATGTTAAAACAAACCTGTTTATACACTAGTGGTTCATCATTGAAGTTGCCATCGTTGCGTCAGAAGTACGGCACCCTGAGGCACTGAGTCTTGACTAACATACCTTCAGATATTTATTCACCATTCTAATATTGATTCTTCCTTTCCACCAAACTGTGCCTGTTACTTTGCAGTTTTGTTTTATCGGAACAAGCAGATAGAACTTTGATTGTGAGGAGCAGAGATGTGGGAAAGGGTGGGCACAGGTTCTAATCATAATGATGTAGTGATTTTTTTTCAGTAAACTGATCAATCTCAGTAACTTTTTTAAAACCCATTTTCTAGAGTTGCTATCATTATCTTTCATCTTTCATCAAACCTACAGTGAGCATGGCTGCTGGGGCACTTTACTGGTTGCTGAAGAAAGCTAACGATGACTGGAAGACCAGAAGGAATGAATTCTGGTCTTCATGGGTAGGGCCAGAATTTACAGTGTTGGTCTATAGATTTATATGATCAATGGCAAGAACCCTACCCTATCATCTACTGTTCTAATTATGTAAATATGAGGTGTTTTTCTCTACAGGCTCTTTATTTAGAGAAATGCACGAAGTGGGCTCTGGTCTCAATATACCATTTCAATATGATGTGTTTTATGCAACATGGCACTTTTCGAGTGGGAAGCCCATAATACATGTCTAGAGGTAGATTGAACAATTTAATTTACTGAAAGCTAAAAAATTGACCCATGCTCCCTAGTGCCTATTTGCATGCTCTTAAAAATGGTGCTTAGCATGTAGCTTACACCTTTTTCATTAAAGAATAAGTTTTCTTGCATTTACCACATAGTAAGAGCATGTATGAAGTAGTTACTGAATATCTGATGTGTGAGAAATTCGTGTCCTCTTATTTTGCAGTAACATGCATACCTCTTTGTATTATAAGACCTAATCCTTTTTAGTAACCTTTTAATTAACCTCACTGTAGGCAAAAGATCAGCAATGTTCTTGTTTTTCCGAGGTTGGAAATGTTATTTATGAAAAAATAATTGACATACTGTAACTGTGCAAGCTTAAATAAAGCTGTATATTTTGACTGACCAGTCAAAATAACTGCAAATACATGTTGCAGTCATTAACAAACAAGAAAGACATGATCACAGCTGCTCCAGCATACAGTCTTTGATGCTCTAAGGGTTTATTTTGTGGTTATTGACCATATATAAGGCTTATCTGGATTCACAGTTGACTCTGATTAATCATTCTTACTGGAGTGCTCGGACACACCCAGCTGCCTCTGCAGCACTCACTCTCCGCAATCAAATATTTCTGCATCTCACAGTGCATCCCTTTTTATCCACATTATCTCCCCATTACAGATTTAAAAAGAAGTCTGTATTGCGTGTATAAATACACCTCACATTTCCTTGATCAACATCAACATGTCATTCCTGTTTTAATGATGAAGCAGCTGAGGTGTTCTGATTAGTGTTTTCAAAGATTATAAAACAGTTCTCAACAAATCGTTGTGATTTTTCCCTTACTTTATCATCTCTAGGCTCTGTATATCTCTTATTTTATAGATGCATGACGGACAAAGTATTGTTTCTAGAACAATATATTTTTTACTCCTATAAAAAGAGGAGTCAGTTTTTATGTTCTGTGGTTGTTAAGAAATTTTTGAGTAATCATATCTTATTAGCTTTGATTTTTTTTGCAGATTTAGAGAAACATTTTACTTGACATTTTTTGCCATAGAATTTAAGAGTGTGTCAATAATAGAGCACAAGATGAAGAGAGTGAGATCAGCTATTGAAAATGTTTATGAAGGAGCCTCTTGACTTCATAGCTTAATATTGCTAAAATGGGAAGTGTCTGTCGAACCTCAAGGCCTTGGACTGCCATTTTGGGAGACAAGGAGTTAGTTGGGGATGGAAAGACTGGAGTTTGTATTCTTTCTGCTCTGTTAGCCATTGCTATCTTCATGGATCTGACACTCTGTTTATCTGACAGTGCACTCAGTACTGCTTCGCCAGGGAAAATTGCACAAAACAAGCCTAGTGCATCAGCATTTTCATTGTGTATTAAGCTGAGCCTCCCTTCACATGGTCACATCCCCTTTTTAATCTGGGATTCCATGTCCCTTTCCCAGTCCAGCCTGTTTCTGTGGTGTCTATTGCTGGTCTCCCTGAGCTTCTGTTTCTGTGGTTTGAGTGTTTTTTGTGTGGCTGAGTGTTAAGACCTGCAGGACTTTTGGAAGTGGCGTTGTTTGGGGGTTAGGCAATACACTGCTTTAGTGTTAGTAGTTTGTCATAGACTGAGGTGATGGCTGCGTTCAAGTTGGATTTCCTCCCAGAGATGATGGTGGACCATTGCTCCTTGAATGCAAGCCCTGTGTAAGTATTTTGTCTTCATGCCTAAGTTGTAACTAAAATGATAGTTAGAATTGCTGTCTCTAAAGCCTTTGCTGTCTGATGAACTCCACCTGGGGCAGGGGGCCTGGGAGAGCCTGCAATTTGTTTTCCTGAAGAAATCCTAGTGGTCATTGACAATTGATGTTGGTTTCTAAGGGGAAAAATGGTCTGATAATTGTGGGAATGAGGGCTAAGGAGGAATAAAGCTATTTGGTGGTATTGTTTATGGTGTGCTACAGGTGCTGATATTATTGATTATATGACTCCAGACTAAACCTTTTAATTAGGAGTGAAATAATTCTTGAATAGTGCTGAGGTCATATTAAGAGTTGCCCAGTTAACAGGAGCCATGCTATGCTCTTGAAGCTATGCATGGCATAGAAGGTAAGGCTGAAAATTATTATTGGAAGAGGGTAAAATATTTACAGTTGTTTTCAACTGAAGTGAAAAGAGGTAGCTTACATCTCTGTAAAAGGTATTGTTTGCCTTGGCAATTTGAAGAGGTGCTGACCCTTTCTGAGTGGAAAGGTAGAGTGGAGCGAAAGGATTTGTGATGATACCCTTCTCTTCTGGTAAGAAGCTTTGTTGTTTCTGAGGTCTGTTCATACAACTATAAAATTATGAGCTTTCCCTGGCATCAGTTTTTCCTTTAGCTCTGAACAGCAGCATATTGAGGGAAAAATTAAGTAAACATTACCTGGTTTGGATTTTTTTAAAATTCTATTTAGAGGGAATATGGTTTCAGATGGACAGTGAGAGGAATACTGTTTACTGTCATGTGGAGTTATTAAGCTATTCAGACTATCTTCAAAGGAAAAAACAGAGATGAAGTGGGCTACTCTGGAAGAAGACCACCTGTATTCTTCAACAAAGAGTTTGGGGGCGGGGGGCATCATTGTATAGTTATTGTTCCACTCCCCATGTCCTTTCTAGATTATGCAGGGATTGGTCAGCAATTTTAACCTACTAATCACTATAGCTACAATAGGGTGTCATTACAGTTAGTCTTCCACAGAGATAGGTCCTCTAGTATACCAAGACTTCATATTGCACTTAACAAATAATGAGGAGTCAATACAGAGAGCAGTGTATGACTGTCAACTAGCTGGGTGGAGCATAACACAAGTTTTGTTAATAGAGTGTAAACTGTTCTATGGCTACATATAATGCCTTGAAACCTACTGAAGATTTCCATACTCAAAACTTCTCTGTTGTTGTAGTCTAAGAAGTGACTTTTTTCCTATGTTAACCTCCTGCCATTACTCAACCTGATTGTTTGTGACTAACTGGGTTGTCCAATCCCAGCCTATTCATGTACAGTTTTAGCCTGCTTTTTTGCCAGTTATTGTTGAAAGCTCCTTAGTTTCACAGAGGTATTGCCTTGTAAACCTGTAAAGAAACTTTTAATCTAGTCAGTTTTATCTGTTTCTCTCTTTAAAGATTGATCTTCACCTTGGGAAACAGTTACAGTTAGTAACATATAAAACCATTTTTAAAATGTTATCCTCTCATTTTCAGTGGTTACTGATAACTTCAGTGGTTCCCGAATAGGCTTGAGTTTAGACTCCTTTCTGTTCCGGTTTTTTTTCTATAAAATTTTACGTGGTTGAACTAGTGATATTTTTCAGTTATCTCAGCAGATTTATATCCTGAATCCCAGGTGTTGACTACATTATAGAGACAAAGTTTTAAACAGCTGTGTAGAGTGTGTTTGATTTCCAAGTTCGCAGATTGCTAATGAATGTGAATATTCTCCTGTGTGCAGTACTGGGAATGTGCAAGAGTCTCTGTGTGTAAATTTTAATCATATACATTTATATATGTGTAGAAATATTTTTTTTATCTTGCTGCAAGCATGCTTTTGTCTGTGGAAGATATAAACCAGAAATTCCTTCTTGTTTTTCATAGCTCAAAGAAAATGAATGGCACACTGGATCACCCAGACCAACCTGATCTAGATGCTATCAAGATGTTTGTGGGTCAAGTCCCACGGAGCTGGTGTGAGAAGGATCTAAGAGAACTTTTTGAACAGTATGGTGCTGTCTATGAAATCAATGTCTTGAGGGACAGGAGCCAAAACCCTCCTCAAAGCAAAGGTGAGAATTTCTGTGCTTTTCATGTGACACTTGGGGTTTCAGCCAGTTTCACATAGTTGCAGTCTTAGCTGTTTGCTTATTCAGAGATCCCTGTGTGTTGGAGCTCTGTGTGACCAGGTGTGCATGCAAGCCTGAGCTTTATAGTCTTTAAGTGTGTTTGTCTAATTATACTTGAACTGTCATCCAGTCATTAGCTGAGCTGAAGAAAATTATAATTTTATTTTTTTTTAGAGCTCAGTAGTGATGAGGATGCTTGAGGAGTATGGATTATAATTGCAAAGCAGAACATCAAATTAATACTCTGTTGCTCCACAGCATTGTGATGGAATACATTTTGCATTGGAAGGATGGAAGTGGGATTTGCAATTTCTGTACAGCATGTCAAGATTTGGTGTTCTTTCCCAGCTAGCATTTTGTTTTAATTGCAGGGTGCTGTTTTGTTACATTTTATACCCGTAAAGCTGCACTAGAAGCACAGAATGCTCTTCACAATATGAAGATCCTCCCAGGGGTAAGAACGGAGTCCTGCTTTCTGCATAACTCTGTCTTGTTTTTCTGAGCTCCAGGACCACTGAAGTACAAACACATGTTATCATGCCCTCAAATAATGTTTTAAAACAACTATTCGAAGGATCAGTGTCATGAGATTTATATGATAACAGATCTTAAGGGAATTTTGGAGCATTTAGGAGAATAATATGGTAGTGAAGTGGGTGGGCGTGGCTTTTATAATACTCTCTGAGGAGGAATGATGATATGTAATTAGGAAAGCCTTTCTTCTAGGAATTTATGTAATGTTACATATGCACCTCTAGAGGCAATTTAGACTGTAATATCTTCCACAATTCTTATGGGATGTATTTCATATAATATGAAGTGAATGTAGTAGGATTAAATAATCTTTTTTACGTTTCAGATGCACCATCCTATCCAGATGAAACCAGCTGACAGTGAAAAGAGTAATGGTAAGCTTTACTAAAGTCTGAGTTTGGTGGTGTTATTTGTGCTAATTGGGAAGCTTGAGGGTTTCCCTTCTGTTAAACAGCTTTTGGTGAAGTCTTGAATTGGAGGCCTGATTTTTTAAAAGAAAAATATGAAAAGAGAAAGGTATGTTTTGAATATAGTAGGTAGTGTGAGTGATGTCTCCAAAATTCCATGACTCAGAGTATCTCCCACTGCTGCTGCTTGTGGTAGAACCATGTTGTCAGTTAGGGAAACATCCAGTGAGTTCTTCTTTGTGCTAAGGTGGTTTAAATCTTTGTTGGGGACGTGGACAGTGGGATTGAGTGCACCCTCAGCAAGCTTATGGATGACGTCATGCTGAGTGCTGTGGTTGATACCCTAGAGGGGAGGGATGCCATCCAGAGGAACCTTGACAGGCTGGAGAGGTGGGCCTGTGAGAACCTCATGAAGTTCAAAAGGCCAAGTTTGCAAGGTCCTGCAAACATGGATACAGGCTGGGTGATAAGTGGATTGAAACCAGTCCTGAGGAGAAGGACTAGGGGGTATTTTTGGATGAAAAGCTGAATATAAACTAGCAGCATGCACTTGCAGCCCAGCCAGCCAGCCATATTCTGGGCTGCATCAAAAGAAGGGCTAGCAGGTCAAGGAATGTGATTTTCCTACTCTACTCCACTGTTATGAGATCCTACCTGTAGTACTGCATCTAGCTCTGGGACCTCCAGCATAAGACATGGACCAGCTCAAGCATGTCCACAGGAGGGCCGTCAAGATGATCAGAGGGCTGGAGCATCTCCCCTGTGAGGATGGGCTGAGAGAGTTGGGGTTGTTCAGCCTGGAGAAGACACCTTCTAGCAACCCTTCAGTAGCTAAAGGAGGCCTACGAGAAGGACAGGGAGGAATTGTTTATCCAGGAGTCTAGTGATAGCACAGGGGATAACAGTATTAAACTGAAACAGATTTAGATTTAGATTAGATATTAGGAAGAAATTATTTACTGTGAGGATGGTGAGACACTGGAACAGGTTGCCTAGAGTAGCTGTGGATGCCCCATCCCTGGAAGTGTTCAAGACCTGGCTGGATGGGGCTTTTAGCTACCTGGTCTAGTGGAAGGCATCCCTGACTGTGACAGGGACTTAGAACTAGATAATCTTTAAGGTCCTTTCCAACCCAAACTATACTATGATTCTATGAAATCTAGAAGTGCTTTTTCAAGTGCTTGTCCAGTTTGGAGCAAGGCCTCAAAGCCTTTGAAGGAAGTTTGTTGCAGCTAGGGTGGGAATCAAAACTACTTTTTGTAGTATACAAGAAAGGTTGAGAATTAACAACAGTTCGGTAGAGAAGAAAAACTGAGTATTTCTGCACATTGGCCACTTCAGATGGATTAAGAATTGAGCATCCACCACTGGGTAAATGATCATTTAGTCATGCATTTTCATTTTGAGTTTATATACATACATATATGCATGTTCAAATATATCTGTATCTATGTATACTGCTGCAACATAAGCAAATAAAGTGTTTAGCATCTTGTAGTTTCAACCTTTCTAGGCTTGGCTGAATTTTATTTTCTTCATTTGCAGTAGTTTCTATAAGATTAGTGTTGCATCATGGAGAAGATAATCCTTGTTTCAGAAAGCTTAGGTCTTAAGATAATTGAAAGGAGACGATGGAATATATATGGGTAGCATAAAGTAGGAGTAATTCCATCTGCAAATTCCTTCATGTGTTTACAGAATAAGTTTCTATGTAAATATAGAAGGGAGTCATTCCTTTGAAATATTGTTGGAAGGAGAACTGAATAGGTTCTCTAAACTAAAATGCATCTTCCTTTACACACACGCACACACACACACACACACAAGTATCCTGGGAAAATAATGGAAAGAAAAAAAGTAATGGAATTTTAGGGTGATAATTCCAAGACTATTGCATAATTATATGAGTTTTAGTAAAAGGTGTAGGTAACAACAATAAATAAAGCATTAGTTAAGAAAGTATTTGAACTTGCCACTAATAAAAGGGATTCTGGATCTCTTGAACTAAAATGGATTGCAAAAAGTATTAAAAAGCAACTTTCCACTCTAAAAGCGGAAAGCGAACTAAGTACAACATTAAGATTTAATAGCCAGTTAAAGTCATATCAGCTGGAATAGTCTGGAATTGTCCTTCCTAGCATCATAGCACACTCAGCAAACAAGTTGATTTCCCCTCACCCTGGCACTGAATCAGAGAAGACTTAATTGAAGCTTCAAATTCTGCTACAACCTTCATAATACTATATTTTATATTGTGATGAATGCTGTATTTCTAAACTGGTTTATATTTTCAAGTGTTATTCTGCATAATTTGCTTTATCCCATAAAAGAAAGTGTTTCAGAGGTGGTTAACATCCTTAAATAAGTAAATCAAGAGGTATAAAATTCTGCTCTGAATTCAAATTTACCCCACTCCCTCAAGTGACCTTTAACTGACATTAGTAACCATTAACTGAAAAGTTAAAAGAAATGTCTTTCTGAACCATTTATTTTAAAATAATCTGCACACTGAAGGGTATTCTTCAACTCTAATGTGTCTAGTAGCATCAGGGTTCAGAGGCTAGATACAGTACAACACAGTCCACGGCTTATTTTTATGCTTTTGGTACAGATCAGTACATATCACTTTTGGTGCATATCAATAACAGAAATAAAACTGTTCTGTTTTAGCAACTGCTGTTGCTTGCGCTGTTGAGAGAGGAGCATAAGGAAGTAGACACATCTAAATTTAAGTGATTGGTATGATGAAGGGGCTAGAAAGCAGCTTTCTGCAGTTCACTTGCTTGTTTATATACAGTTAGGTATGTTGGTAGTCTAAAGATAGAAGAAGAGGCAGAGGAAAGACAATGAAAATAGTCCAGTAAACCACATTCTTTTCTTACCAGGAACTGAAAAGATACAGAGAAGTGCTGAATCTGACATATTTTTTCCTTTTTTTTTTTTTTTACATTCTTGCTACTCACAGGCTTTGTAAGGAAAAATCAGTGAATTGTAAACATAAAACATGATAAAACAGGCCTCCTTCAGGTTCATTGAAGTATCTCATATGCATCCTCCTTAACTGAAAACACAGTCTGTTATTGGGAATCTGGTTGTGATAAGTCTCTACCCTAAATACAGGGTAATAGAGAAGACTTGACAAAATAAGATCTAGTAAGCACATATTTGCTGGTAATACTCTTTACCTTTTGATTTCTTAGCAGTAGAAGATAGGAAGTTGTTTATTGGAATGATATCCAAGAAGTGCAATGAAAATGATATCCGAGTGATGTTCTCCCCCTTTGGGCAGATTGAAGAATGCAGGATATTACGGGGCCCAGATGGCCTGAGCAGAGGTAAGCAGGAAGCTTTATTGGCAATTGGAGGATACTGCCTTTTGCAACTTAACATAGCATTTCAGCTTTTTCTGTGATTCCCACCTACACCCCCTCCCCACCCAGTAGGCACTTTGATTTCTGTATTCATCCTGGTAATTGTGGATGTGGTGGAAGATTTGGTTTCTTTTTGCTTTTTTCCCAGGTTGTGCATTTGTGACTTTTACAACAAGAGCCATGGCACAAACAGCAATCAAAGCAATGCACCAAGCACAAACCATGGAGGTAAAACAAGTTAGTGGGTGTCAGGAGCAGATGTAATTTGTCAGGCAGTCATTGTGGAGTTTAAGGGACCAGTGGGCATACAGAGAAGGATAAGTGCAGTGTGTGTCTCTTCACAAATACTGTTTCTGGACCTTTGTGTTTGTTCTACTCCTATTTTTAGAGTTCAAGATAGGAATTTCATCTGCAGGGAAAATTCCAAAATACAAAATAGAATTAAAAGCAAACACAATTTTAAACCTTTAATGAAATGTGCTATTTGAGTATATATATATATATATATTCAAATATATATGGGGGAGGGAATTGCTTCCAGTGACTGGGTTGTAATGCAGTATTTTTGTGACTGCTGGGGATAGCAAGCATGTAACTGTTTGAATTGCTGTTTGCAGGGCTGCTCTTCTCCCATTGTGGTAAAATTTGCAGACACGCAGAAGGACAAAGAGCAGAAACGAATTGCTCAGCAACTCCAGCAACAAATGCAACAGATCAGTGCTGCCTCAATATGGGGAAACCTGGCTGGTCTCAACACACTTGGACCCCAGTACTTAGCAGTGAGTTTCTGATTTGGGTTCTTTTCATCTCTTCAGGGATTGCAGTGTCTGACTGTCTTGCAGTGTTTAATGTATTCATTTTTAGAAGGCTTCTGATAGACAGGGGCAGGATTCTTAATCCCTATTGTGTGGATGAGAAGGCTGAAATTGTTATGTGCTAACATCTAGTCAGGATACATTTAAGGGAGGATTTCCACCCCAGTCACAGAAGCCCTAATTACTGAAACCCTGGGTTTTTCTCCTGCATTCTGTAGACTGACTTCGTGCTTTTTCTTTATATATTACAGCCTTAAAATTTATCCATGTAAATGCCCTTTTCATGTCTATCTAATGAAGTAGTTCTCGTATTCTTTTATCATTTTTCCTTTTTCAGCCTTTATTTCTCTTATCCTCTTCCAGTGAAACCAGAAACAGTACTCGGCACTGTCCACATAGAAAAGGTGATCAGATTGGAAACAGAGTAAAGAACCTAAACAATAAAAACCAAACAAATAAACCAAAATAAACCCTACAGAAAATAGAGAGAAACTACTCTCTTTAGCAGAAATAGTGCAACAGACTGCTGGACTAGCTCTTTGTCACCAACTGCTGTTTGTCACTGATTTTAGTTGATTTTGCTGGGTCCCTAAGGGGTGAACTTTCCGTAAACTGATGTACTCTGACTTATGTGGGTTGCTAGAGTAGTTCTGAGAACTGTATTTATGCAATGTAAGGTCTGAAGGACAGAAAAAGAAAATTTCATCTCATTCTTGATATGCTGTGTAGTTGAAATGGGGCAATTCTCTTAGTACTTTTTTAGTTTTGGTAGGTTGGAATTTTTTTTACAACAGCTAGTTAATGGAAAAAGGATTTGGAAATCTCTAGCTTCCGAGCTGAGTCTGGAAATCTCTCATGTCTGTGTGCATAAGGAAAGTGGAGAAAGTTCCCTCGCGTGGTGACTCTTTGGTTTTGATATGACATTACCATTTGTCCCGTGTTGACAGTGTCAACTGTAAAGTCTGATGTGAGGTAGCATATCCTTAGGGGTGGCAGTCCTGCCTTAGGTGCTTTGAGTAGGAATTTCTCTTACACTACTGATTCTGCTTGTTTTGTCTTGGTGTATCAGCTATAATTTTCCCTCACTGTTGATGATATTGAGTGAGAAAAGCATTGTGCTGTTGCTTTGGCTGCAATGTGATGCATGGGCTACATGGAATTTCACTATGGTGGTGCTCTGGCTGTATTGTGCAAGGGGAATTCTCTTTATGCTTTGCTACAATGAGGTGCATGGGCAGCGGGAATTCATTTGTGACGGCGCTCTGGCTGTGGTGTGATGCAATTTCTCCCAGAAGCAGAGCCAGCCCTCACTCTCACTCTTGTTTTGTTTTTTGGTGTAATGTCTAGCTTTATTTGCAGCTCCTTCAGCAGACAGCAGCTGCTTCATCTGGGAACCTGAACACATTGAGCAGCCTCCACCCAATGGGAGGTAAGTTTTTTCCATCAGAAGACAAATTAAGTACCAAACAAAAGAGGATGAGGGTAGAGAAAGCCAAAAGGCTGTAGATACATTAATGTAATTTGACATGACTAGTCCTGAGTTTATCCACTGCTTCAGAATGAATGGAATCCTCTGCTACAAGTGTGGGTGTTCCTTCTTTATCTAAGTATTGTCCCCAAGGTAAGTGGTGTTATCCTTCCAAGCTCTGGCACTTAAAATTATCTTCCACAAAGAGTGATCTCTATATTTCTATCCAAACAGGTGCATGTGTGAAGAACTGCATTTTGAAACAGGCATTAATGCACATGTTTCAGTGATAATGGATTCTTAGTTTTCCCATTTTCAATGCATTTAAGAACAAAACATTTAAGTTGACAACACAGTGTTGTTAGGAATGTGAGCTAGTCCTTTATTCAGGTTTTTTCATTCATTCATTTGAATTACAATTAATTATTAATTATAATTACCATTGCTGTTAGGGAAATACCAACTTAATAGGTATGAGCGAAATTCCTTGCTGGAGACTGCTAGTCAGAATATTCACTAAGTATAGCAGTACTGGGGCTGTAAGTTGATTGTCCCTTCTGTCTTCACAGGGTTGGGAATAATAAAATACGTTAGTAACTCCATTCACCACATTCTCTAAATTCTTCTGCTGGAAAAAAAATCTATAGTTTTGGTTTTAATACTGAGCACTTCAAGCTTTTAAAATTGCCTCCTGGAGTTTTAGAGTCGTTCCCAGTATCACATGCCCTGTCTGTGCAGAGTTTGCTCTACAAGTGTCTTTGTACATCTGATTCGTGTTGGTTGGTGCACTCGTCAGTAACAATTACAAGCTTTTGCAAAGTGTTATGTTTTCAATTGTAAGAACTCCGATTTTATACTTGAGGTTGATTCTAATGTCAGGCTCCTATATTGACTTTTTTCATGTTAGACCTCTTCAGAGCTCTTACATCTAAGATTCTTGCAAAAAAGCAATTTTTTTTTAAAATCAGTTTCACTAATATCCTGTAGGGTGGTGATCTATAATGGATTTTGTTATGCATGTGATACTCTTTTTCTCCCCTCTTGTGTCTGTTTGAAAGCAAGTTTTGTGATAAAGGAGAAAGTAGTAAGGACTGGGGCAGGTGGAAGGGGCTAACTACCTGAGATTTTCCCTGAAGTTTCCAGGGTAATTCTATCTTCACTATTTAAAAAAAAAAAACAAACCTTAAAAATTGAGAAATCATATATATAAATAGCATGTTGCAGGGTGTTTTAAAATAATTATTCCAAGTCTGTGATTCTTTACAGAAAAAGTTGTAGTTTCAAAGTCCTTTTAGTATCTCAGTTCCTTTCTTGAAATTCATAGAAAGAGAAATTAAGTAGGTAATTAGATCCCAAACTATATTAGACTTTGTAGACAAAATTTAATCTCAACCCTGTTTGAAAGCAGATGGGAAAACAGTGTGATGACAAGAGGGCAGATGCAGTGTACATGTGACAAACTGTTTCAGTTAAGGATGCAAGCTGCTCTGTTCTTCACGAGCTCCAGCACTTGCACTTTTAACCCTCTGTAGCACAATAAAAGCAAAAAATAAAACTTTTTATTTTGTGTTTTTTTGTTACAATGGCACCTTGAATCTAAATAAAGACAGAATCCCCTTGTTTTGGGAACTAAACTTGGCTAGGGAAACAGACCCTGTCACAAAGAGAAAACAATTGCAAAAGAGTTAAAAAACCAAACAAATTATACTAAAGGTAGTAGAAGTATTATAGAAAATAATTAGTTTATACTGCATTGTCACTTACATTTTTGTTGTCTGCTTACATGCTTAAATTACAAAACAGAGCTTTTAGTTATTTGAGATGTGTGTTTTGCCACTAAGTTCTTACTGTGTCCAAAAGATGAGAGCCACCTCTACCTACGATGTTTTGATGTTGTTAAATGAAAAGTGATTAATTTAATTTTGGTTTTAATTATGTTGGGAAGAAATACTAGGGAATATTTGGAATTGTTAAAAGAAGCAAAGATAGAGACAATAAATGGAAAATAAGGGAAAAGGGAAGAGAGGCAGTATTGGAAGAATGAAGCTAGTCTACCAAAGGATGGCTAAAATACAGAATTCAGGAAGAGATCCATTTCAATGATAATCCCACAGCAGGAAAAGAGGGCAAAATGTGGTGCCAGTACTGACCAAATGGTTTCATTCAAAAATGATGACTCAAGATGAAGGTGAGTCAAATGAGTAAACTGACTAGTAAAAGTTCGTAAGCACAGAGGTACCTTCTTGCCCCTACATATTCCTTGCTGCCTACCTACAACGTGATGTTTCCCATTTTCCTTGCCACTGTTTTACCAGCTAACTGGCCTACACAGACATTGGTTGATCTTGTGGTCAAGAGTTGCCACCTAACAGTTGTCTCACAACTGACTGTTGTTTCTTGACTGCCAGGGGGACCAAACAAAACATACTGATGGTGGGTTAAAGCTGTGACTGTGGCCAATGTGGTGTGAGGCCTGCTTGAAATAATTTTGCAGTTACTGCTGTTCCCATTCCAAGGGAGTGGCAGGACATGAAAGTGGAGGAAGGTATTGGCCTGGTGTCTAGGCAAGTTCTCCAGCTTGCACATGAGCTGTCAGATCCTGACTTAACTCTCGTTTAAGGCTGCTGTGCTTTTGTGACTGGAGAGAACACTGCTTAAAAATTTCTGGAGTAGACTCTGGAGTCTACATCTGGGATAATGAATACCTGGCCTTTTCACCTACTAAATCACATCTATCTGGGCAAAGAAAAACTTCTTTTTTAATTATAGCAAGGAATCGTGATACAGAAAAGATCAGTAACTAGTATTAAGCCTGTTGCTTTTAAGCTCCTTTCTGTTACTCTGTTGTGATGTGCTGAGTTTGCTGGATCTGTTACCCTTGGTTGGTGGTGACTGTTATAGGAGAAACTCTGCATTCTTCAATGTGTTGCAGGACTGAATGCGATGCAATTACAGAACCTGGCTGCGTTAGCAGCTGCAGCCAGTGCAGCTCAGAACACACCGAGTGGCACCGCTGCACTCACTTCCTCCAGCAGTCCCCTGAGTGTGCTCACCAGCTCAGGTAAGAGACTGCCTATACTGCAGTGCATTATGACATGGGTTGCCTTAGGAGTCCTTTCAGGATAGATATCATCTGTTTTGTCTGTCACTTTTTGTCATTTTCATGTTGATTCCTTAATACATAAACAGTTTTACTAGTAGATTCACTGGCCTATGCTTAGGATAGATACCTTTGCCACCAGCAAAGGCTTTTTTACCTGCTGTGTTCCTTCCTCCAGATGGTCAGATTAATTTAGAGTAAAAAGAATTTTTGAGGTCATAATAAAGCAGAAAGGTAGGTGACCTCCTTCCAGTCATGTTATTACAATCTCATCACATACTTGATTTATCTGTGGTTTTAGGCAGGCACTGTGGCAGATGTGCCCTGTTCCTCTCAAGAGGGAAACAGAAAATGCCTTAAGCATGAAGTAATGCATTCTGTGCACTAGGACAGTACTGTTTATATTCCATAGATGAAGAAAAGGATACTGTAACTTCCTCACAGAAGCAGGAAAACAGAAACCTAGCATATGCACTGGAAAGCAGTTGTCTAGAACTTAGTGTACAAGTTGCACATAAAAATCTTCCTCTTATATGGCTTTTGTGTGTTTTGTTTGGGTTTTTTAACTTTAGGCTATGTATATTAACCAGAGACACTAAAATGTCTGAGTAGTATTCTTTTGCTGCCTTACTGTCAAATTTGCTCACTAAAAGCAACAAGCAAAAAAACCAAACAAATTCTGTTATGCTTACAGAAGACATGCTCAGTTTTTACCACAAATGAGGATCAGTATTCTACTCAATTATTTCTGTCCTATTTTGAGTTATTACTAAATCCTGACATGGGAAGGGAGACCCTGTATATTCAGGGTGTCAGTTTTACAATATCTGTGGCATCCAGCCTACAGAGTTGACATCCTCACCTGTGAATGTGAGAGACTAAAGGGAGTTGGAGGGGATTTTAAATTTCCACAGGTAGCTTTTTGAATTGTGTAGAAGGACCAAGGAGCTGGACCGAGAGGTTAAGAGATTACAAGGAAAAGCTGTTTAGAAACTTTGTCATGTGATTGGAAGTTAAATTATGGGTGCTTTGCACAGTTTTCTACTTTAAGAAATTCCCAAGAAAGAATAGTTCAAAGAGTATTCTGTTGCTGGACATTTTTTACATAAAAACTTTGTGGTCTGCATCCTTAAAAGATTAAAATTTTAAAATTTATCTTTACTCCCAGCTATGTATTTTATTCCATAATTGAAAAACAAACAAACAGACAAAAACCAACAAAAAATTACAAGTTGAGGCTACAGAAGAGCTGCATTTATACCCAATAATGCTGCTTCATCATTAAGGGAATACAAAGGTGAATATATTTGACAATTTCTCCTATATTTCTTCATGCTGTAGCAGAGCTGAAATTGTCAGGTTACAATTTGCTGTGAGTGGCATTTAGAACTAAGGTTTCCTCATTGGCTGTCTTGTCCAATGACTGGAGCAAGTTTGTTCTCTGTTGAGGTGGAGGAAGGGACTGGCAGGTTGTGAAATTCAAATGTCAGATGTGCTAGAAAAGGCAGAGACCGACTCTTCAGAAGCGTGCAGTGAAAGGACGAGGGCAATGGACACAAGTTGCAACAGAGAAAATTCTGACTAAATAGAAAAAGAAAATTAATGGCAAGAGTGATTAAGCACAGGAACCAGGTACCAGAGGGGCTGTGGAATCTCCATCATTTCAGAGACTGAGAATGCTGTTGGAAAGGACCCTGAACAAACCCTGAACAAACTCAGAGGTTAGACCAGCTCTGAACAGACTGTTAGACTGGATGATCCACAGAGGTCCCTTTCAACTGAAGTTATGCTGTTATTGTGTGATTCTTTGGAATTTGTTTCCCCTCTGTGAATTTTGGCTGTTTCACAGAACTCTGGAAGTTCTTTTTCCCTTGATGAAAGACATATTTCAGGACTCTGTTCCATTTTTGATCATGCTGGTGGAGGGGCTGGGGAGTAGGGAGCAGCTCATTTTTAAGTACTTTCTGTGCTCAATCCAAATAACCTTCTGATTGCTGGTCATATCAATAAATGATTGTGTGTCAACAATTAAGTTATCATGATGGGACATTTGAATTAATATTCAATACAGATGTATCAGTTCACTCTTCACAGGCTTATAACATGAAGCAGGCAGTATTGTGTTGCTCTTTAAACTTAATTTCAAGTATAATTTTAAAGAGTAGAGATGACTTCTGTTCAAAAGAAAATTTTGGAGGATATGCGGTCTACAAGTAGTCACTGACATCAAACTCTAAAACAGTTTCAGTACTTTTCATTAAAGGTATGAATATGCTTCACATTTTAAAACTGAGATTGGGCTTAGGGGAAGCCTCAATGTGTACAGACACATTCAGTCTCATGATATTTCCTATGATTATACAGCTTTTTTTAACTCTTTAGTCTGAGGTACTCTTACGTCTTAAAAAAGCAAACTTGAAATTCTCTTTTGATTAATATTTATATGCACATTCATTCTGTATGTATTCACATAGGTGTCTGTTTGAATCCACACAGAAAGCATCTATCCCTCCTGAACCACACCCAGACCTTGAAAAAACTCAGTATATAGCAGTTCAGTACTATGTAAAAACCTGCCTTGTCTGTGGAACATATGGCAACATCTACTGTGATAACCTCTTAAACCTAAGTGCAGATGAGGTGGCTACTTCCTTGACTTCTCTCCATCTGTCATCCAAGTATTCACCTGATGCTTATTTGGACATTTCTCCTCAAATTGCATAATTGGTGGAAAAATCCAGGCAGTCCTTATGCATAGTTACCTTTTTTACTTTCTTTCATCTGCACCGATATCATTTGTTTCTGGGGAACTTAGAAGACCACACAGTGCAGTCTGTGGACTATGAATAGGCTGAAATGTCAGAGTGGTTGAACTCAGTGGTGTTAAGTATTTTTTCCATGCTGTCTTCCTACCCATTTCAGACAATATTTTTAGGTAGTTCCAAGCAGTATTGTGTATTTTGATGTGGACTAAGATAAAGCAAAACCTTCAACCTTGCTGAAGATGAGCTGCTCTTTGGAACTGAACAGTCTACTGCTGTACCCACCTATAGGTAACCGATGTTGCAGAGGCCATGGCCTTAGATAGACTCATTTAAACCACTAACTTGTGAAAGGGACGTTCCAGAAAATATTATAGAAATATCTCAGGATTGGAATGTCTTGTCTGCCATCTTTTTGTCTCTGACACCAATAAGAATTGTCTGCCCCAGAGCAAAATAGAACGGTTGCAAATGCTGAGGTATGTTTCCATTTCTCCTCTTTCTAAAGGCAACCATCAAAGGTCCAGCAAAGCCTAGATGATTTTGATGGCCTTAGTGTGTCTCTGGCAAAATTGTTTTGAGAAATATCTTAGTATTTCTATTTTTACTGGAACTAATTCTGGTACAGTTCAGTCAGATTTATTGCCTGAATTTAAGTTCTCTTCAGCTCGTTGCCTGGATTCAGATGACTGAATTAGGACAGACTTACTGTTTCCTCAAGTTTACCAACCTCCACAAGTTGTTACTTGATGTCCAAGTTTCACTATCTTTCCTAGCTGTTCTTTATTACATATTCAAATTTTCTTTTTTACATATTCAGACCTTCTCAAATACTTTCCACCTGGTTCTCTTAGAGTTAGCCTTTTTGACTAGATAGAACTCAGTAAATAGATCTAAGAAAACGTAACCCTAATAGCAAGAAAAAATCTCCAACCACCCACCAAAAACTGCAGAGAAACAATGTTAAGAATTAGGGATGGAATAAAGAACAGGTACAAAGCGATATTGGCTTTTCATACCTGTTGCTGTGTGCTGTTTTCTGACCTAAAATATAACATAAAAAAACATAAAGAACAGAAATGATGACTAGAACTGTGGAACTCCTTCCCTCTTAGGAGCGACAACCTGAAAAATGGAAGACTGATATGGGAGAAGGATATGATTAAAGCCTACAAATATATTAGTGTTATGATGAAGGTGAACAGGGAAAGAACAGTCCTTAGATATTTCAATAAAAGAATTGCAGGATATCAGGCCAAGTTGTCAGCTGACAGTTCAAAAATAAAAAAAGATATTTCTTAGCATAGCATATGATTAAATTGCAGAAGTCATGCCTTAATACATACTAGAGTCCAACAGTTTGGTGTTCAAAATGCAGTGAAATTAATGAATGAAAATTTATTACAAAGACATTGCCTTTGGCTGAAAAAATCCTAGATTCACAAATGGCTGCATTGATCTATAGACTATACATAGGAAGCATTCCTTTGTAATTGCCCTGTATTTCTGCTGTACTGTTATTTATTTCCCTTTGGTCATTATCAGGAAAGGGGTGCTGACTTATTTTATGTACATAGGAATTGCTATACTAAAGATAAAAATAAACAAAAGTCTTCAATTTTCTTGGTATTTTCAGTACTAAAGCATTTCTTATTTTGTCTAAAGAAATTTCAGATAAAGGCAGCTAAACAAAATTAACTGTGTGTCCAGCTTTTTATAGTGGTTTGACTGAATTTATTTAAAATCACAACCCTTTAAAGTAGGGAAGGCATCCATTCTCCCTTTTACTTTGCTCTCTAACTTTTTGCCTTAACTGCAACCATTTTATTGTGGATGAGTTTGGGGGTTTTTTTTAAAATAGTGTTCTCATCTGTCAAATGGCTTTTTTTTTTTTTTTACATAAAGTATACTATGTTGCCTTCATCTGTTCCTTACTAGCCTTTTTTACAGAAGTAACTTAACAAAGAAGTTGAATTATCAGGACCAAAAAATATTGCTTGAAGTTTAATTATTTTATTTTAATAGCAGGTTCCTCACCTAGCTCCAGTAGCAGCTCCTCTGTTAATCCAATGGCCTCCCTTGGAGCATTGCAGACGCTGGCAGGGGCTACAGCAGGCCTCAACGTTAGCTCTTTAGCAGGTAAGTTATGTGTTGTGGTGGGTTGGGGGAGTAGCTGATTAACATTCCTCAGCCTGTGCTGGTCCTGTGGGGTTATTTTTTCTACTCCCTGCTTTTTGTAATACTGCAGAGTATTTGAAAGGTTATCAATCTGGCTCAGTGGAAGCACTCAGTCATCTTTTATTTCCTCTTTCTTAATCCAGGAATGGCAGCCTTAAATGGAGGACTTGGCAGTGGTGGTCTTTCAAATGGGACAGGTAGCACAATGGAAGCCCTCACACAGGCTTATTCTGGAATCCAGCAATATGCTGCTGCTGCACTGCCCACACTCTATAACCAGAGTCTCTTAACACAACAGAGTATTGGTGCAGCGGGAAGTCAAAAAGAAGGTAGGCAGAAAGCTGTAAAAACAACTTGAGAGGGGTTGTCAAAAGGGCAGGGTTAGCCCTTGCAACTACCTTATCTGCAGATCTTTCATTTGGTGGCATTTTTTTAGAATCTTGGAGTTACTGAAGGTAAAGAAGGAAAACCTGCACGATCTTTCTGTAAAGGGCTGCCCAAAGTAGTTTTTGTACAGGAGGTTTCTCGCAGGGTTTATCTAGTCTTAAACACTTTGCAGTCGTACTCCTCCATTTTCTCCGGGGGAAGAAGGGTATAAGTGTACAGCGTGATACATCCCACTGTCAGAGAATCAGATGTGGGTTTGTTAATGTCATTTTCTTGGTCCTTCACCTCTTCCCATAGACACTTATGCCAGTCTCTTCACTCTTCAGATTCAGGTTCAATTTAATATTTAGTGCTAAGTAATGAAGAATGTAGGAGTAAGTTTTCAGCAGAATATGTAGGATGTTTAGAAAAGAATCTGTCAGATATAAAGCAGTACAATGATTTGTATTGTGTATTGACATTCACTTAGTTGTTTTGGGACCACAAGCTTTGCATAGCCATTTTTGTTTTAGTCAACATCTGGGAGTCAAACTCACTGTTTGAGCAAAGATCTGTGTTTTGCATAATGTGTAAATTTCAAGCAAAAATGGTGAGAAAGAGCTAGAATTTTTTGAATGATCAATCCCCACAAAGAGTCATGCTAATTTATTCTGGAATCAAGTTCTCTGCAGAAATGTGAACAGCAATTTGATTGTTTTATCCAGAAAATTTGGCTTGAGTGGCTCTTTCACCTTTTTTTTGTGCAGTGGGCATATGTTATCCATGCTGTTTCTGAATTTATATTCCTACTTGTCGTTTGAAGGTCCAGAGGGAGCCAATCTGTTTATCTACCATCTTCCCCAGGAGTTTGGGGATCAGGATCTGCTGCAGATGTTCATGCCATTTGGAAATGTCGTCTCTGCCAAGGTGTTCATTGACAAGCAGACCAATCTAAGCAAGTGTTTTGGTACGTTGGTACAGCTTCCTCACAAGGAGGAGTGGAGAGGCAGGCACTCTTCTGTTCTCTCTGAGGACTCATGATAAGGATCCAAGGGAATAGCATGAAGATGTGTCAGGGAGGTTTAGGCTGGATAGTAGGAAAAGGTTCTTCATCCAGAGGGTGGTTGAGCACTGGAACAGACTCCCTGGGAAAGTGGCCACAGCACCAAGCCTGACAGAGTTCAAGAAGTGTTTGAACAATGCCCTGAGACACATAGCGTGATTCTTGGGGCTGTGTGAAGGGACTTCAGTGATCCTTGTGAATCCTCTGCGATTCAGGATATTTTATAAATCATTATCTGTAGAAAGGTAGCTTCTTTTTTATAATCTCTTTGAGTATATTGTCTAGTCTAGCTTTTAGGTCAAGTAGGGAGTCTTTCTCTATCTTCCTGAAAAATAAGTAAACCAAACGCTTTCAGCAACAAACTGTATTTTCCTGATTTTCATTGTGACTTTTTACTTTTCCCAGTTTCATACTATTATGCCTCGTTATACTCTTCTGGCCCTAGATAATTCACCCTGAGATTAGCTCAGTGGGTTAGAGCATGGTGCTGATAACACTAGGGTCATGGGTTCAAACCCCATATGGGCCATTGACTTAAGAGTTGAACTCAATGATTCTTGTGGATCCCTTCCAACTCAGAATATTCTATGATTATGATTTGTGTTTGCAGACTTTAATCATGATATAGTTCCTTCTCTTCCCTCTTTGTCTTTTCAACAGTTGTTTGTGTTGCTGTATATACTACTTAGTACATTATAATTATGAATTATTTATATTAATATCTTTATATATAATTATTGTGGCTACCATATTGCATTCTTGTAGTGCTATAAGCTCTTGTGACTCTTTTGATAGATGGAGGTTCCTTCTGATGGAATAGGAGAAGTGAGCCTTTCTCTATGGTTTTGATAACTTTGTGTCTACATAATATCCCGAATTTTTTTGTATTTGAGGCAAGCGGTGTGGACAATCTGATGCTTTGTGAGAACACAACAATATGCTGATCATTAAGCTGTAACACATGCATATTATAGATAGGTAGCCATTGACTAGAGTGGGTTATTATTCCCAGTTTATTTAAAATAGGCTCCTTTAAAATCCTAGATAAGTTTGTTTTGAGGATGATCTTTTCCAGGAATGATATATAACTTGTCATCCAAGAGAAACCTAAATATAATAGTGGTACAAGTGCTACACTCCCTAGACAGCTACTTCACTTCAAAAAAATGTGCTCCCGTAGTGTCACGAGGGTGATTTCAGTCTTGTATCTTTAATGAGCTTTTGCATATAGATTAACATTTTCCACATTTGGTTTTCTCCCAGGTGTGAGTTCTTATAAAACAAACAGCAGTACTCATTTTTGTTGATAGACTAGAAAATGTTATTTTAATTTCCTGAGCTTTGTGTATCTTTTGGCCAAAGTTCCATATGTCAGAAAGCAAGGATTTGTTTGAGAGCCCTTAGTAAGGAGTTATTATGAAGAGTCTAAAACACTTGTGAGCTTCCGAAGGTGGTATTTCATGCCAGCTTCTCTGACCTTGTGAGTGCCTGCATTTCCAATTGTGAGTAGCTGTTTTGGGCAGCTTTGTCATGTTTATTATGTCTTTTCCTTTCTTCAGGTTTTGTAAGTTACGACAATCCTGTCTCTGCACAGGCTGCCATTCAGTCAATGAACGGCTTTCAGATTGGCATGAAGCGTCTGAAAGTACAGCTCAAGCGCTCTAAGAATGACAGCAAGCCATACTGAGCACCCTCCCCTCCGGGACTGGAGTGAGAAGGATCTTCTGGTAAGTTGGAGAGGAGCGCACTTAAGTGATTCGAAGCCCTAAGGCTGTGTTTTTACAGTCCTGGAAGCTGATCCATGCCTTCTATCTGGCACATCTTCCCTTGAAGACTCTGCTGCAGCCTCTGCTGAGAATCCCGCTTCGGATGGAGGACAAGTTTGTGCTTTTGTTTCCAGTGTTTTACTTTGGAGTTTAGGTGCCATATCGCTGAGGTTTTTTTGTTTAGTTTTGTTTTTTTTTTTTCTCCCTTATTTGAAGTTTGCTGTGTTTGTAACCAGTGTGTGTTGAGAAGGACCAATGCCAGCTCCTTGTGGATGGGGAGAGAAGGTTAAAGGGAGCAGCAGAAACTGACACCACACTGCCTTGGGTAGAGAGGAGAAGGGAAAGCAGAAATAACACAGAACAGCTGATGAAAACAAAGACAGGGAAGGAGAACAGTCTTGGGTGAAGAAGAACCGACTCCATGTAGTCTTTGTCATGCCCCATCTGCTCATGGAAGTTTCCTTAACTGTATGCCATGGTGAGGATTTAGTAAATCATCTCTAAAACAGGAGACAGGCTAAAAGAGTGAACATATTAACAAGCCAAAGGAAAACTGCAGTGTTTTGTTTTTTTTTCTGCCGTATATAAAGTAGTGTTTATATAGCACTGTGAATGTACACAGCACTTTATAAGATCATTAGATAATGTCTCTGCCCAGAAAATTTTACTGTCCATTTACAGTGGAATATTAATGAGATGCAGTGAATTTCTCCATATATAAGAAAACGTCTCCTATGTACTTTATCTAGGTTTTGTGGGAAGGTAGAGACAACTTAGTCTGGACGAATACATCTGAGGCTGGAAACAAACTTTTGATCCCTGGTAACCTGCAGACGTTTTTTGACAATTTTTCTTCTTAACAGTTGATCACATTACCCATTTCTGTGGAATAATGTCCTTTTTTGCTATGATAGCTATGAATTCCTTCTCATAAGCATAATGTAAGTGCTGATTGTTTATTGAAATGATAACTTCCTCTTTTGTTGAGGGGTTTTTTCTTGTTTGTTGGTTTTTTTAACAAACAAAACAATTTGTGCAGTGACATGGTCTAGTAATTAGGTGTTTTTTTATACTGCAGTTTTCCTTTAAGGTGGTGTGTACCAGTGCAGAACAGGCTAACCCAGGAGCTGTGGAACCAGAGTATTGAGCCATTCATTCAATCTTTTTTTGCCTTCTGGTACTAGCTATTATCTTCTCTATTGAGGGAAAATTGAACACACCCCTTAAGTGCACACACACTTTTTCTGCATATTAGTGAAATTGCTAATGCCTTGCTAAGGGCCTTTTGTTATTCACTGGTTTTAGGGGGCTCAAAGGACTTTTGACACTCTGGCCTGAGCTATTGTAAGAAATCCATGTAGAATTCCATTTCATAACCACCAAAATCCACCTCTGTCACAAGAGGAAGTTTACAATTTCTGTGTGTCTATAACAGAGGTTCGATTTACCTCGTATTTTCTTCTTTTCCTTGTTTTCTTTGTATTCCTACTTTGTGAGGCTGTTTCCCAGGGCACCAGCTAACACTGCAATCTGGAAGCCAGCTACTAGATGATGAGTGCCTGGGTCAGAGGTGGGGTCAGAACTTTGTGTTCTGCTCCACCAGGAGGAGCAGTAAACCCATCAAACCTGAGATCTCAGTCAGAATCCCCACTTGTGTGCAGTGATCTGTTGGGAATGTCAGGCATTTCCAGGAACTGGGCCCCCTGTGATCTCAAACCTCAGAAAACAAGGCCTGACCTGTAACTTCCAAGGGGGAGCCCTTTTCATCTCTTAGATTGAAAATCAAACAGTTAATGTCAGTCTGTCCATATTGATGGCAGACAGATACATCTGTCAGTATTATTCAAATAATTTTGTGGTGGCTAAATTTCAAAGGCCAGATTGCCAAATTTCCCAGTTCTGCTGGCATGTGGTACCCTTCTATGTTAATTATTTGAATCTCTCTAGAAACGTAAACATACAATGAAGTGAACCATGTACACTTGAATTCTGCACCATGGGAAAGATGTGTCCTGGTTTTCTGAAAAAAGAGTGTTGGAGTGTGAAGGCCTCCAGGGTGATAATGGGATTTTTTTATATATATATAAATAATATACTTTTCAGAAAAAGAAAAAAAAAACAGGAAAAAAAAACATAGTTGGGAGCAACTGCTCCAAGTGCAACCTGCTGTAACCAAGAATGTTGTTTCTATTTTTATAGAAGTTTTATACCGCTCCAGGGTGGAGAATATTTATTACCTAAATTATTTCACTGGAAAAAAAGGCCAGGGTTTTGTAGAATCCTGAATGTGATTGTTTAACACACATAATGATGTGCATGATTGAAACTACTGATTTTCAGTGGCCTGTTTGCAGCCCAACAACTGCTAAACGAGGAAGATGAATGCTGTGAACCAGTGGAGGAGAGCACTGTGCTCTGGGGTCTCTACAGTCACTCTTACCTTCTTTGTACCCTACCCCACTGTACTGTCCAAGACCTTTGTCCTGTTTTTCTTTTAACCTGATGCTCTGGCCTCTTTACTAGTCATTTCAGTTGCCCATAATTAGATATTTTAGCTTCTTCATCCTATAGTGTGTCCTCAATACTGTAACTGACGGATCAAGCTTGGCATTGTTGCAAATAGGTGTGACCCCTGTTGACTTCAGGAGATTCACCAGTTTACACTGTGGCTTAGTTTGATCAGTGACTCCTCCCAGACATAATCACCTTAAGTCACCTAACTTGGGCTAGCTCTTGTGCCTTACTGGCATAACTATAAGTATTGCCAAAAAGAAAAGGAAAATAAATCTATGCAGGTTAAATTTTAAAAGATGTGATCCTCAGATGGTTTGACTCAATGCAGTTCAGCTCTCTTCAGTAGAGAGCTGCATCAGTTTTCACCAGCTGAAGATGTTGCCCTTTTTTGTGTATTTGTTTCAGATTTCCTTTTCTTGGTGTATCAATGTGTATGTTGCCAAAGTTAATAAATGTATCAAGTTTGTGACTTGGGCAGAATTTTTTTTCTGATAACAGAACTGATCAGATAAAGTCAACTTTCTATGTCTGTTTGATGGCTGCCACTGATTATGGAGATTTAGGCTGCTCTTGCCTTTCAGTCTTAAGCCAGTTTTCTTCCTCACTCATTGACAGGAAAGTCTGGGATTTTGGGTACTTGGGATTTACATATTTTATTTTATTCTTAATTCTTATCATGCTCTCATTCAAGTGCAAATCAAATCAATGTCAAATACTTTATTTCCTGGATAGCAAGAAAAAAATCAGTTGGGTTCAAATAAACTGCAGATGGTTGCCTGAAGTAGCCACATGGACAAAGTATGCTGTATGCTCAAAACCAAAGAATCTGCATTTTCCACAACAAAAAGTAGGACTTCAGATTAAATACAATTCCTTATGATGCGTGCCACCAGGACGTATTTAACATATTTTAAGTTACAAGGTGGGATTATCTACTTCATAGATTTATTTTTTCTCAGGAGATATTTGATTTTACTGCTGTAATAAGGTGAAAGTATTATGAACTTAGTCTGATACTACTTAATGTCAGTATTTTAGTAACTGAAATCATAATTTTTTCAGTCCCCTAGATAATCAACAGTCCAAAATAGGATAGCTCTTTTTAGTTATTTCTTCCATTAGTGCAAAGCTTGCATTATTAAAAAGTTCCTTTGATATATAGTAACTAAAATTTAATCCTAAACAGAATGAGGATTGGAATTTTTCAAAAATCTCTGAGTCAGAAATGGGGAATAGCTGTTTATATTTTGTTGGTGAGGTAGTTTTCTAGCTGTGGACATTGCTGTCTGGAAAATAGGCACCTCAGAAAAATTTTCACTGGCAAATACATGTATCAAGAAAAAGCTTTTCTCCTGAATACTGAAGGTCACATAGTGTGATAATTCTATCATGCAAGCTGAACCTAACTGAACTGTTTCTTCTTGTTAATGATTGTGCGTTAGGGAAAAACAGCCAAACAGAATGAAGTTGTTCCTGTTTCATTTGTAAGTGTCTAAATACAACTTGCATAAAGCAAATTTCAAATGAAGGGTGCAACTATGAACATGTAAGATGCTTTGAAAGCCTCTTGTTGTGGGCATTTAAACCTGAGGATGTTTTATATCCCTGAACATACCTAGCACAAAATATGAAACACAGAAGGCAGATTTATCACTGTTGTGAAAATTAAAAAAGGACAAACTGGAATAACTTTCTCCGAGTCTTTAAGTTCTTCTCCAGCATCTCATGGTTCTGTTCTTGTAGGCCAGTCTTTCCGTAGGACTTTGATGAAACTTATTCTTTCCCCTCAACATTGCTAAGTGAAATATTTGAAAAATCTCTGTAAAACAAACAAATCACACAGAGCATTTTGATGGTACATGCATAGATGTCACTTGATTTCATGCTGCTTCTTGTTTCTCATGCCTCAGTTCATGATGAATTTGCCTTTCTAGTTTAGTAGCGAAACCTTACACCTATCTGCAAACTATCTAGAGTATTTCTAGAAATATAGAAAAAACTGCAAAAGTTTCATTGTACTCTGTTTGCTGGAGTTGGTTTAAACTCTATACTAAGTCCTTTCCTTTTATTGGAAAGCATGAAGAGCAAATTAATCTCAGCAGTACTAATAAGAGGAGTGTTGCCGGTTTAGTTGACAATGTGCTTCTTGTTGCTTTGGAACTAGAAACAACACTTGTTACTCTCAAATATGCTATAAATGCTGTAAGATAATATGCAAATCTCACCTTGTTCTAGTCTCTAACCAGCAGCTTTGAGATGTGCTGAAGACTAAGCCACAAACAGGAGCTAAAGGGGAATTGGGGAGGCAGAAAAAGAAAACAAATCACTTCCTCTCTCTTCTACCTCCCACTCTCAACCCAAAATGTTCCTTGTCACTTGCAGATCACAAGCTGAGGGGAGGGAACAGAGGTATTTATATCACTTAATATAAAAATTACTTTTTTATAAACTCTTCAAGAAAACTTCAGGAAACACAGTTTTTCTGCTCACCAAACTGGCAACAGTGACTGTAGAGCTTCTCAGAGCTCAGAATCCCCTCCTCATGAATTCAGGGAGCTGGGGGCTGTTACATAAAAGGTTGGGAACAGAAAATCCCTGTGCAGGTCTAGTGGTATGAAAAGTGCGCAGCTAGGACAAGTCTTAACTTGCAGTCAAGTCTTAAGGAATTCTTCTCCTATGTGTGGGCTTTTTGTCTTGTATAATCTTTTTTTTACCCCCCTTTTCCAAATTACCCACCCCCAGTTTCGTGGGCTCCTAGGGAATGAGAAGGGACTGTAGCTGAAGGATTTGCTGGGCTACTACTGCCTAAGAACTTCACATGTTAGAGTGCAAGGAAAAGTCTCAACCGTCAAACCACCTGTGAATCCCTTGTGTCCTCTGTCTTGTCTGTCATGGTCTCAGTCTCTGTGGCCAAATGTTAGCCCTGGAGTTGTATTTTTTTGAATTTGTCTCCTGGGGAGGGAGCCTGCTCTGTTCTTCTCCTAAACAGAGGTAGTGGAGACACTGGGCACGGGGTAAGGTGAATGCATGCTAATCAATGTGTCACTAGGCTGTGGAATGCTCCACAGACTGGGTGCTGAGAGGGAAATCCAGGCCTCTGCTTCCATTTGGTTTCTGGCAGTTTGATGTTTACTTGGTGTCCTTCATGTACTTTGACTTTTACTTGTCCATCGTTGGCATGTGCTGCCCTCCCCTGTCAACTCCCTTCCCCAGGAGATCTCATTGTACAGTGCCCATTCTTGTTCTCTCTCTCTGTGTTTGGATGTACTGCTCTGTGTAACTCAGTGGGTCTCCCTCTTTCTGGTTTGTTTTTTTTTCTAGATTCCTGCCGTTTGTTCATCGTTGTGCCTAAAGCATGTCGATGTGGCGTTCAAGTACATCGTCCAAATCCTTGTCTCTTCAGCTTCTCTGATGCTTGAACTCTCACCTTTGACCTTGTGTTGACCTTTGATGCTGATGTGTATTTTTATTACGTTTGTTTCTTTCTTTTTTTTTTTTGTGCTGCCAAATTGGTTTTGCTAGAAAGACTGCTGAAGGGGAATATTTAAACTTGCATTTGAATATAAAAGAATTTCTATTTTTCTAGACCTTCGTAAGATAACCACTTGATTTTGTGAATTTGATTCTTTGTAATTGTCTTCAGAGCAGCCTTGCTAGCATACCTTGTGGAGTATTTGTATTTCTGTGAACATACAGCCAATCACTTTCTAGGCTTAGTTTTTTCTGTGTGCTTAGTTTTAAAAACACAGTTCGAATTAAAAGTCAATTATATGGTGTGACTTAATCTTTCAGGAGACTTCCTAGTCACATTTTGCTGATTTGGTTTCTGTGCTTGAGGAGACAGCATGTGTTTTTATGAGTTCAAACTTGTGACTTGAAGTGGCATCAACAGAAAACACTTGAACTACATTTTCCTCTGATTGTAGCTACATTTTTACCCTGGCATTTACTGATTTTTTTTTAATTATTATTATTATTTTTTTCCCCCGCTTCCCTGTGTGATTATCAGTCTGCAGTGAAAATTTGATCAAAGTTGATGTTGTATTTTGTTAAGCTCCAGCATGCTTGGTTTTTTTGTAACTACAATCTCCTCAGCAAAATGTGATGGTTTTGTTTTAATCTTTCAAACTAAGATAGTGCCCAGAAATGTTTTGCATGTTTCCTGCTGTTTTCTTCACATCCTCGTATATATCACCTTCACCTCTCTGTTTTCTATAGTTTGTGCAAAAACTGAGCAATTTAATGAGTTTCAAAGGTATCCTTTAAATTGGTGGTTTTGGTATGACAAATATCTGATCAGAAGCCACCTGAGGGCATCTACCTGTGCACTTAGACTGTCTGCCTGACAGAGCACCTGGACCTTGTTCCATATCCAGTGCAGTCAGAGGCTCTGAGGGTGCTTGGTTGCACTGTTCACGTAGTAGAAGTTTTGGTGGAAGGGCATAGCTGGGAGCAGGAAGGTCGGGGAACTTCACAATATTTCTGTTTCCAAAGTTATGTGAAGTCAAGGCTCCTTTCAAACACTTACGAGCATTTTGTACAAGTCAGGGCACATTTCTGTGAAGTCCATCCCCAGTTTAAGACCATCAGTCAGAGCTTGGTGGCAGGATTCTGGAAGAATCTAGGTTAGCTCATGAAACAAAGCATTTTAAATATCCCAGAGAAAGCATTTGTAAACCTGATCCTACAACTGCCGGCTCTTTTCCCAAGTGACAAGCACAATACAACAGCCTCTGAAGCTGTTACCTGAACAGGGTACCATCCCCAGCTCTCTTCTCAAGGGCCTTAGCTGGGGAATCTCTGCGGAGATTTTTTAATTTTTGTTTAGTTTTTAATTGGGTAATGAGCTGAGCAGTTTTGCTGGCTTGCAGGATGAACTAGAACAGGTTACTGCTCTCTGGGTAGCAGGCTTCCCCCTGCCCTACATACCGTCTGCACAGGTGGGAACTGGGAAGTAGCTTCTAGATGAAGGCACCTGAAGAGTGTGTGCTGTGATGAAGTTTCAGTCAGCAGCAGCAAGCTAGTGTAGGTATCTTAACAGTAGAAATAATGTGAAATGAAATCCCAGGAGAAGGATTTTTGCTGAGTAAACAAATAGAGTTTCATTGGATAGAAATCTTAATTTTGTCCAGTGTTTGGGATAATGCAAAGATGTAAAGATTTTTTTCTACCCTACTCCCGAGTTGGCTGAGGATACTGTATTCTCAATAGGTGTTGACCAGACTTGTGTAGACAGTCCTTAATCTGCTTATAAAACAGAGCATGTTTGGATATGGTACATATACCTGGGAGTGAAATGTGAGGCTGGATGAAGAAAGGGTAGAGATTTATTTATTTGGGAAGTAGGGTTGTGGGCTGGCTGCTGTTAGTCCCACAGTCTGAATGCACAGGGCTGTGTGCCAGAGGGCACTGATGCCCTGCAGTGTATGGAGTAACTATCAATACATTTCTGTACATGCGCATTTGGTTCCATAAGGAACTGTGGGGAAACCTGTGGAAAATTATCTGAAGAAAACCAAAATGCCAAATGTTGGGTGTTTCTTTCCTTTCTTCTTTCCTTTCCTTCCTTTGGTTGTTTTAATTGTTCTGTGGTGGTTTTAATGGATTTGAGACAGTGGAGCAGCAGCTGCCTTTCTGATTTTTGGCTGCTTTTTGTGAATAATTTAAAAAGAAAATTTACATTTTGGAGACAAACCTGTGGGCTTTTTTATTGGTACAAACATTGTATTTAACACTAGGGGTTTTGTACAGTTTTTTGCCTTTTCTACTAGAAAACAATGTAAAGTGATTCACAATGTGACGAGAAAACAAATTGCCACTATGACCAAATGTAGAGTCTGTTCTGCAGTAACAGGATTTAATCAACTCGAAGTCGTGGTTCAGTCGTAGAAATGCTTTTCTTTACCTTGTTTGAGCTGTTCCTTTTCTTCTTGTTTTGATTTGCAAAACAAAATGTCTTTTTGTGTGAAATTGTGTTGTACTCTGTAGAGAATTTACTTTAATGGTTTAAAAAGCAGAGGAGCGCATGTTGCTTTTCTGATCTGATCACAGAGTTTGTGTAGTGGATTTAAAAATGAAAAGATTTGTTACAAGTTTGGAACAAGCAAGTATGTGTTAAAGGAATTTTTCTTCCTTTTGTGTGTGTGTGTTTTTTTTTTCTTTTTGTCCCAAAGGGCAACTTAAAGCTGTTTTAATTGCACAGACACACCAACAACAAGTCATTTTGTATATGCCAAGTGTGGTACCTTCCTTTGTTTATTTGCTATTAAACTGTTTGAGAAGAGTCCTTGTGTGTTGTATTTGTGTCTTAAACTTGAGGTTCTTTTGGGGTCCAAACATGGGAAGATGGGGAGAGAGAACTATTTTCTGGTTTCTTGGCTGTGAGCCACAAAACTTTTCATGGCCCAATACCACTTGTTCTGGATGTACAGCATAGCCCTGGATTTTAACTTCCATGTAGACAAGCTACTTTGAGTAGAAATTGAAAAGATTTTTTTTTGGTTGAGACACCTCCGCTTTGTATCATTTGACAGCCAAGTCCTCTTTAGACATAAGGTACGGAGAAGCTGAGAATCTTGGATAACAGAGTACGTGTTACACTGCGGAGTGAGGTGTAGACATATCCAGCCTCACAGAATGGATGCCATGTGGCCACGTGCCTGTCCATGCACTGCACTTAATGGTGTTTCAAAGGCTAGATACCTTCAGCGTAACACCAGACTTCAGCAGGAACAGCACGTGTGCGTGGTGGTGTGTGGGATTAGGCACCAGCTGATACCGCTCTCACAAGCCCCATACCCACTACTGCCTCCTTACCCCTTCCAGGAACATGGCCAAGCTTGCTGAATCTGTCCTGGTTCTGCAATATGAAGGTATCTGCAGCCCCCAGTGCTCCTGGTCCTGGAAATACTACATAGGAACTCCAAATGGATTTGGATGACTGACTAGTAATAAGCAAAAGCTACCCGCTTTGCGGTTAGAACTAAGGTATCTTTACAATTCATTTTACTTCAAATTAATAAAAAATATCTAGCATAGCCAAAGCATAATTCATTGAGCAACTTGCCACAAGTTTGACATTAATAGTGCCTCTCTCAGAAGGAACGTACCACAGTGGCTATGATTTTGCCACATTTCTGAAAGCTTCTAAAATTCGGTGATGTTACTCCTTCCTCCTGCTGTCTTGCATCTCAGAGACTGCAAGCATTTTCAGAGCAGTTATGTGTCTCCTCTGTGTCCTTTTCCTCAGTTATCTGGCATACTCTGTTTCACCCCATTACTTCCTACATGATTGTAAATCTGAGAGCATTTTCAGGCCTCAGGATTCAGTGCTGCATTCCTTTCCCTGCAGTGCACCAATTGCAAAGTGAGGCACTGAGCCACCTGTTACAGAGTGTGCTGGGATCCCTGCAGTTAATTTGCAGCTGTTGAGAAGAGAGGCTGGAGAGATTTCAGTTCAGATATGACTGAAGGATGGAGAGAAACAATTGAATCAGAAAAAGGGGTTTTTTAGGCAGAATGGAAGATTCCAGCTTGTGCAAACAATTCACTAGGCTGGTCTTACACAGGCAAAGCTTTGTCAGTTGCATCTTGCAGAACTGACACTAGGCAGGTGGAGGTTTTTTTGGGGGGGGGGGGTTGTTGGTTGTTTGGGGTTTTTTAAGGTTTTTTCTTTAATTTAAAAGGCTACCACCAATCAGTAGACAATTAAACTACAACTAAGAGCCAGTGTATTAGTCCCTGAAAATAATAAGCATTTTCAGATGAGTTGTTACATTGGTCAACATCAGTAGAAAATACACAGAGTTTCAGGTAAAATCCTGATATTGAATGTTTTAGGGGAATTTTTTTTCCTCACATCCACCTCACTTGCACTACTTGTTTGGACTCCCATCTCTGATCTTCCCGACTTTACCAGCCATGTTCCTGGCCATGTCTTCATATGGCCAGGAGTCACCAGGGCCATGTTATGAAGAGCAGTGGGGAGAAGGACAAGCAGCTCAGTGTGGTCACTCTGAAGAAGTGAACGCGTGATTAGCCACACTGCATGCTCTGCTGCATGACAGGTGAGATTCCGTAATTTGGTGTTTTCAGGCACCATTCAGGCTTATTTATTTGCAGGTCTTGAGAAGAAACTGGGGATCGTTTACTGTAGAAGCTGTACCTGAATCTTGTATGAACTAGAGCTGTCTTGAACCACAGACTGATACCATTACTTTTTTGAAGCACTATGGGCAATCAGTGTCAATCTTTAATCCCTCCTTATTTAGGTAGGCTCTAGGTTCAGGGTGATATGTTCCATATCTCAGAGCATGTTCCTGGTTTTTGAAGATGACCAGTTTGAACTTGATGGATCTAGCCCTTATTTTACTAGGGTAAGTTTTTATCTCAACATGTGAGTTGTGAGTTGATTCCAAAGAGACTAAGCACTGTTTCATAGGAGATCTCAAAAGCGAGGAAGTCCAGTGTGATTAACAAAATGCAGGACAGATCATTTCCTGTTAGATGGTTTTGTCAGGCTGCAAGGCATCCTCTGTTAGCTTTGGCTGTGCTGTATGGAGAAGGAGCAGTGCTTTGCTGTGTGGTCCAAAAGCGTCAGGATGAGTTTGAGTTACAGACAAGTCACTTGTGGAAGGTTAATTTTGCAAAGTAGTGTGATCTAGGAAAGAATTTTTTTTCCCCCCTTCTTAAGTCCTGGCTTGATTCTGTTATATAGCAGGCTCCAATGTTGCTTTCCTGGCCTCTTAACTTGATGGCCTCACCATTATCAATGCTTTCCATGGAGATCAGTCTTCAGGATCTTGTCTCCATCCCACCACCCACCCCTAGAGGGAAATATAAAAATTACTGCAGGGAAGAGAGACTTTTTAAAATTCTGAATTGGACTTCCATGGGAGTCTTAAAATCTATAAAGTACCTAGATAATAATTTAATGGTACTGCTGAAGTGATCTTTACACATAAACCA